AGCCCCGCTTTTCAGCTCTTTTAGCCGTTCGGCGCCTCGGTTCCTTACACCAATGCGGGTGCCCAGCGCGGGTTCCTCCGCCCGCTTGGCGCGACGGGAGGCAGAGCTGAGGGCAGCTGGGCTGCCGAGCCCTGCGCTCCGGAAGGCGCCCCTCCAGCCCGTGGGGTCCAGAAGACGGAAGGGCCCATGGATGGGCAGGGGAAGGAAGAAGGTGCAGGTCCCCAAAGGCTCGCGGTGGCGAGGTGAGGCGCGGCGCGGCACGGGGCTGTGTGGTTCCCGAGGTGTCCCAGTCCAAGGTGGCCAGAGGCTCAATGTGACGTCACGGTAATCCTGGGCCGCCAGACGGGACCCCGGGCCCCGGGGCCCCGGGCCACCAAGCGTGCCCAGCGCAGCCAGCCCGTGCGCGCGCGCGCACTCTCAGCTACACTCACACTTGCTCCGGGAGGTTGGTGCAGCTGGTGGGAACGTCAACAACCCCGACCCTCTGCTCGATGCTGGATCCTACCCCTTTTGCTTCAAGCTCACGCGCGCGCGCACACATACAATCTCTCCAAATTACCCGGGAGAAGTAAGAGATACGCCTCCCTCTGCGCTGCGCAGGCCCCGGGCGCAGCGCTCTCACCTCCTCCCCTGCGGCCTCGAGGAGGCGAAAGGCAACCGAGGCGGCGAGGGAGGAGAGAATACAAAAGAAGAGACAGGAGAAAAGTGGGGGAGAAAGGCAAGAGGGAGAAGGAGGAGGGGAGAGGAGAGAGATGGAGAGTCTAAGTGAACCGAGGCGCGCGGGGGAGGGGGAGCAAACTGGGGTGGGCGAAGGCTGGGCGGAGGCTGAGCGCTGGCAGGTGGAGGAGAGCCGAGGCTCCGGGGAGAAGCCTCCAGGAGGCCAGCTTCTCCGCCCCTCCGCTGCAGGAAACTTTGTTCGCGCCACAGGCCGATCGCGAGTTGGTGCAGCTGCGCACAGCGTCGGTGGAGCTCTGCGCAGCGTTGATGGATCCCATTGATCCGCCCATCTTTGTCCTAGGGGATCTGGCTCCCTGCCTCGAACCCCCCAGGGCTCTGGCTAGGTTCTCGCTTTCCAAGCCCTTGCCTTGGCCAAGGCCCTGACCCTGGGGCTTTTCTGCGGTCGCTTGGCTCTGGAATAGGCCGAATAGCGCCCCCTCGAGGCTGAGGTTCCAGACCCCTCGGATACCTCCTGGAAAAGCGCCAAGTCTGACCACTGGCAACTGCAGACCGCAGGCTAAAACCCGTGGCCATCTCCTTCGAAGGCGAGGCTTGGCCGCCTCACACACGCAGCGCGCTGTGTCCTCGGGGGAGCGCGGGATCCGGGAGCAGAGGACGGCACCTGGGCGGGGCGGCAG